GTAAGCATACTGTAAGAATACTGTAAGCATACTGTAAGCATACTGTAAGCATACTGTAAGCATACTGTAAGAATACTGTAAGCATACTGTAAGCATACCGAAAGCATACTGTAAGCGTAATTTCAAGTAACCCTCCATGCAAAAATAGCAATGCCCTATACACCATGTTAGAATTGTCTGATCAAGTATGGATTAATATAAATGAATGACTTGCCCATTTCTTGTTAAAAGAAACAATGGAGAAACTCACAAAAATAAAACTCTTCCCGAGTCAGAAAAACGACGGCATCTTCCACATTTTTATCAAAGTAATGTTTCGAGGGTGCATTGCCATCTTTGCATGGAGGATCACTTTAAATTTCGCTTTCCGTCTCTCATCATCCACACTCCACAGTTGAAACTTTTAGCTAGAATTAATTCAATGGTAAAACTAAATCTAAATGGATTAACAATACTATGTTTAGACCTATATGAGGCTATGAAAAGGTTTTAAATGAATTTCCTGTGACAGTTGTTTGTGACCTCGTTATAACTGGAAAGAACCAGCTGACTGCCAAACCCAACCGACAAGGAAAAAAGGATCTGGGAGGCAGCTAAGGCCCACACCTAAACAATATTTGGATTCCATTTCAAATTTTATTTTTGATTTATTTTTAATTTGTTTTTTCTTAATTCAATTCTGAAATGGTAAAAACTTTAATAGAATTTGATTTTAGATTTACAAAACTAGATTTTACAATGAATTAATTTTATTTCAAATCAACTTTTGTTTACCTCATAAGAATCCCCTGATGTATAGACATTCCAATCCGGAGTGAAGAATTGAGATATTCCCTCTACTGCTCCCTAAAAAAGTGTCCATTTTAAAGATATTTCTGAAAAAAAATCAGTCTTTGCCACGCAAAATCAAATATTTCCATTTTGCAAATTGGTTATGTTTGATCTTTCAAACTGAGATTATTTCATAAAACATAATTCAAATTTTAAAATATCTAAGGTCTACGACATCATTGGTTGCAGAGATATAGGGATTAGAAAATCAGAGTTTGTGGTAAAGAATTATTTCCTTTGCAGAGACAAATCATTTAAAAAAAGTTAATACTTAATGTCAAGCAATTGTTTAACACCAATTTTGATTCATCCTGTCTCTTTTTTAAATGGCATTTATTTGACCAGAGCTGGAAACTTTAGAATGGTGGATATCGAGATCAATGCTTGATCCTCTCTATTTCTTAATTTCGAGACTAACCTAATCTTGTACTTGTATCCTGAAAAGTGTATAAAATTCATCCAAGCAGAGTCGCGTATCAGAAGCCGGGAAATTTGAAATTTTGCCCACCATTTAAGATTAATATACTGAAACGGGGGGGGCTCTCAAATTTTGAAATACCGGCTTTTTGATTTTTCTGTACTATATCCAAAAAAGAATGGATTAAGCAGGAGATTAAAAGTGTCCACATTGGATATTCGGATTCAGCAGTCGAGATTAAAGAGATTACATAGATCTAAATTTCCTAGCTCAGGCTATTGTATATGTTTTACTATTTTTTTACGAATGAAACCTCAAATGTTTACATTTCCTGCATTAAAGAGAAAAAAATTAACACAATGTTTTATTTGTACATAAGAGTTTTTTTTCTTAAATATTCGAAGGTTTTCGGCTTTCATCTAGGGCTGGGCACGCTCCGACTTTTTTGAAATCGTTCCGTTCTGTTCTAGAACGAGGGCTTTCAGCTAGATTGTGCTGTTCTCGTTCCTTTATTCAATCGTTCTGTTCTCCTTCCGTTCCGTTCTTAGTCTAAGAATGATCATCCCGTTTCGTTTAATCTTTTATGAAAAAAGCTTTTTAAAAAATAAATTGTTAAAATTCTACCTCTCTTCCTGCCCCGTAAGCCAGGAGTGCTGTAAGAACAACGTAGGGGGATAATGTAATGACGTAGGAGGCTTTACCCAGACTCTTTAAACCTTAAAGGGACAGTGGAAATAATTCAAAATGACCAGAGCTGAGATTTTAAAAGTTTAAGCCCGAGTAAAAACCCGGTCTTATTGTCTACTAGACCCTGATTAAGCTCAAGTCAAGACTCGGGTTCGAAATTTACATCTCCTTGTGACAGCTGATACATCTGTCTGCTACAGAGAGAAAGCTTTCTAAGCAGTCTCTGATTAGTCGAATCTGAACCAATCCTGACTTGGGTTTTACCTGCGCTCGATTCTTTTAGTAGGCCGGGGTTTATTCTGGATTAAGTTTTTAAAATCATAACTTAGTACAGCAAATGGTTTGTATTTCTAATCTGAGAGAAAAGCTAAACGGACATTGAATTTAGACTTCTTCAGATTAATTGAGAGACTTTCTCTCTGCATGTATTTTTTGTCTTATTTGTTCTTAAAAATGTAAATTTTTATTTAGAAATAAGAGAGTTTCTTTTCTAAATTACGGAGTTTTATTTATTTTCCATGTGCATAAAAAAGTCAGATACCTTTATAGATTGAATTTAAAAACAGAATTTGTAATTATATTTACTTACCTTTTATCAGGATCAGACATATCATTACCCAACTGAGAGGAAAAATAATTTTAAATAATTTCTAAATCAGTACTTGTCTTCCTCGGAAATTCTTCAAAGAAAGTCACCACGTCGCGTTTGGAGAACCTGGGGAAATTCCTCACTTTTGTTACTTGGGTATATTCGAACAGTAGTAGACAACAATAACTACAGGGTATTTGCTTAAAAAAACTTTAGAAAAAAGGACATGCAGCTTTTCTTATATCAAAAAAAATGATATATAACAATTGGGCACTAAAAAATGATATATAACAATTGGGCACTAAAAAATGATATATAACAATTGGGCACTAAAAAATGATATATAACAATTGGGCACTAAAAAATGATATATAACAATTGGGCACTAAAAAATGATATATAACAATTGGGCACTAAAAAATGATATATAACAATTGAGCACTAAAAAATGATATATAACAATTGGGCACTAAAAAATGATATATAACAATTGGGCACTAAAAAATGTATTTCTATAAAATTGCCAAATTAGTCTTAACCAATTATTTTTCCTAACAAATAGTGCTAATACAAGTTCCCATTTCAATCCTCCATAATCCTAAAATAAATCTTTGTAAAAAAATCTTTTTGTTAACTTGCAATATGATCTAAACATTTGGTTTTGCAATGTTAAAGAGGTTTTGATAACATGTTTATTGCTAGTACACGACACGGGTAGCCGTAGTACATTTGAATTTCCGAGCCGGGTCAACTTTTCCGGTCCCAGTTTGTACTGTACCTAGCTCTATGGACAGGACTAGCCGGTTGACGCGGTCAGACTTTATGCTTCATAAAGGTCGAATTTACTTTTACTAAAGAAGCAGAGGTGCGTGACAAGTCTGTACTCCGAAAAAGGCTGTTATCACAAATAATATATCTATAATACACATATATAAGATTCTACATGTCTGCATAACTATGTATATTTAATCTGTGATCAAATTCGATAAGTCAAAAAAACACCAAAAAACGAAAATGGCAAACTTTTAACAAATTATGGTATTTGTGAACATTATTTTTAATAATAAAACAAACCTCAAAAGTATGAATAGTTCCTTGGTAGTCTTTTTTCAATCCTAGTACTACACGGTAGTAGTAGTCGTCGGCAGGACTAACCCTAGTATTATTATTATCATTATTATTTCTATTTTGATTGTCATTATTGTTATCATTATTATTATTATTATTATTATTATTATTATTATTATTATTATTATTATTATTATTATTATTATTATTATTTGTTATCATTATTATTTTTGTTATTATATTTTTCAAAGTATTATTAATTACTATCATTGTTAAAATCTTTTATATTTTAAAAGTAAAATTTAAAGTTTTAAAGTTATATAAGTATTCATTACTCACCGATCGTACAAATCACCAAAAGGTATACCATTACATGTATCCTCTGCATCCTAGATAAATCATTTAAACAAGTTTAAGAGGATAAAACATAAATCAAATTTGCTTTTAATTGATCCGTATTTTTCTTAAATAACATAAAATAACTAGGCGTTGCGCTTGCGCCTTATTTTCTATCAACAACAGATTTTTGTTGATTTTTCTTGTAAAATTGTGCATTTTCAAAATATTTAATATCGACATTTTTTCCAGACAAAGCTTTTCAATTTTGACGATTTTTATACAAACATACTGACAAGCAAAATATTTATATTTAGAGATCTGATCTTTTCACAATTAGATTAGGATACCACAAGATCAACTCTTCAAAAACACATTTTTAAAGTTTACCTTTTTTCTTCTTCTTGTGAATAAGTAGGTTAATTTAATTGTTTTTTAATAATCATTTTCAAATTGGTGACAATTTAATTTTCAAATTAGAAATTTTATGGAATTAAACTGTTTTGATGAGATAAATTGTACCTCTCCGATGTTGTAAGTTTGATTATTGATCTCGCAAAAAGTCTCAAATTCTATACAGGTACCATTGAAGTAGGTCTGATTGTCTTTCTATTGAAAATTTTGGGATGAAAATTTTTTAATATCAATTCAAAATTCTAAAATATGATTCAATTACGTCTGTTCCCCTATCCAATATCCATTTAAAACTAGTTAGATCTAAGAATGTGAGAAATTTATATTGGAACAATTTTTTCACGTTTTCATAAGACTAATAAAGCGTGATAAAAGTTATGTAATGTAAATAAACGTAAATAAATAAAAAAGTGCAGAAAAATCTACTCGGTGAAAAATGTGAAATGAAAGCTGATTGTATTAAACCAAGAAATTATAATCTTTAAAAAAATTCAAGTTTCATCCAACAGCTTACAGGGGGCCCCTATAACTGTGAAATAAAAAAACGACCATTTTGAATAGTCCAATGTATTTGAAACTCAGCAACTGTGCAGTGTAAACAGACCCATTTCAATTTATATGTTGATTTTTAAGCTACTGGTAAAACTATTTGCTTAAACAACACTGTGTCTAAATCCTACCCTGCATTTTTCATCTAGCTGTTTAGTGTAGCATCCATAAGTGTTACTCTCAAAATCCCTAAAAGTTCATTAATTGTAGTCGGTATTTAGAAGTGGATCTAATTTTGGTTGGTTTACAGTAGGTGAATTAACTAGGGTTGGTTCACAGAAGCGGAATTAACTATGGTTGGTATACAGAAGTTGAATTAGGTATAGTTTGATTTACAGAAGTGTATTTAGACATAGTTGGTTTACAGAAGTGGAATTAGGTATAGTTGGTTCACAGAAGTAGGTTTGAGAAAAGATGGTTTTTCAAGAATTAAAGTTTACAAAACTGTTTACAAATTGGATATTATTGGATTTACAAAAAAAATTAGCATAACTAATTATAATAGGAAAAATATTTAGATTTTGTGAAATAGTTGGATTACGAAAAGAATATAAATCGATTAACAAACAAACAAAAATTTGTGATTTTCAAAAAGTATTTGAATTGGAGTTTTTTAACTCACCCACAGCCTGCCCAGGGAAGATTTGTTCTCATTCCAACAACTGAACAAATAGCAATTAATGTTTTTAATAGAAAAATATCAAAACTAGAATTAAAAATTTTGACTGAAATGGACTGTAAACGTACTTTAAAGTGAGCCTCCATTTAAAGGGACTGTAAAGGAATAATGAAAGGGGGTCATAAAGGCTGAAATCTGATAATCTCAGGAGTTGAACGATACATATCATACATCTATCTGATGTTCCTGTCTCGAAAAATTGAAATAAAAATGTGTCAAATTAATACGAAAATTTATTTATATGCAATTTTGTATAAAAGTTGTAGTATTAAATAGTTCATATTCAACAAATACGCAACCAATCTGAAAACGATTATATCCAATACAGGAGCCTGAGAATCTCAGGTTTGCTTCTTATACAATTCTTCAATTTTGATTTTGCATTTTTAATAGATATAATTGATAATATTATTAAATATAGTCCGTATAGTCCGTATTACGTCACCAAAACTTCAGCCAATGGCGGTGCAGTATACTGGTCACGTGATTTCCGTCTGTATCCCGTGACATTTTCGAATCCCAATTATACCCTTAAAAGCTTTGTCTGATCAAGAATGAATTAGATTTCCATTTTAATAATTTTCATAAACATCTTCCACATTATTGATTTAATAAAGATTTCAGTTATGAGGGTCATACCTCTCTTTCGACGGTTTATCCTGCTCGGAATTTGTCTGCATTTTGTTTTTTAACTTCATGATTCCCCCTAGTTATAACCTTTTCCATATTTCGCCAAATAAATGAGTTTATGATAAAAATAGATTAAAGGCAGATGACCTAATCCTACTTTTTAAAGCTTTGTTTATTCAGAGTTTCAGGAAGTATCATCCTTTGTGGAAAACCTTTATTCAAAAATTGTCGGAGATAAACTTTCAGTTTTGAAGTCAGGAAATTGACGGTAAGTTTCAAGAGTACCGTTGTAAATCGGGCATTGCCATCTTTGAATGGACGCTCACTTGAAATTATGCTACATGTACACTGTACAGTCCGTTTAAGCTTGTTTCTAGCTTCAGTTTAGAAAGAGTAATTAGGAAAGAGAGAGTGCAGAACTTGATTACCTAGATATATAAAGCACCAACCACAGATGACAACGTAATAAATATTTACAAGAAACCGGACTAAGATCATTCCATATCCTAAACCCTGAAAATATTGTAATATTATAAAGATTTATTCACACACAAAGATATGCAGGGTTACCCAAAAAGGAAGCGACAGTAAAAACGACACAAAAATTAAAATATAATGATTTCAAGCTTGATTTCTGCATTTGATTGAGTATTTTGTAGTTTATTAAATTATTAAACATAGAAATATCCCAGTTTTGGCCTTCAAGGAACCCTCAATGCAAGAAAACGAACTAACCAAATTACGTACAATCGTCTCTGAAGTCTAATCCTTTATGTACAACCCTGTGGCCTGTACAAAGGACATATATAAATGGTATAATTTTTGAATATTTAGATTTACAAAAATATGCAAAAGTTGTGCAAAAATATTGATAATTATTCGTGACATAACATGTCTGTTATTTCAGTAATTATTTCATATTTCATCGAATCAATCAGCATATAAATAGTTTATTATATTTAACAGTTCTTATAAAATCGGAACTGCCCATGCATGCTCCAACGGGACATCAAAGTTATTTCAATTGTTTCTAAGCAAACGTTTCACTCAGTTCAAACATATTTACAAAAAAATCATTTGAACTAGAAAATAAATTTTTATCGAGAACGGTGTTTTAGTCATTTTTACAACAGTTGGAGATAATTTGAATGCAGAACAAAGAACTTGCTTCAATAGTCCTATAGAAAGCAACACATCTACTAGCTAACATAGTGTTTACATGGAAACTGACAACGAATTAAAAAAAATTTCATGCATTTAACATTTTATTTTTTAAAGATATATACTACCTTAAAGGCAGGAGCCATTCGCCCCCATACTTTATTAGCCCCGACCCTAAATATTACATCAAACTTTATTTCATTTGTTTTGATAAAAGATCTAGCATTTTAATTGACAGAAAACAAACTTAATACGTTTTTCTCTCACAGTTATAATTATTACTCAATCATAATAAATTCAATACTACATGATTAGATCAGTTTCATCCCCAAGAGATAAAGAGCAATTATTCAGAGCAGGGTTGACTAAATCCTATAGTTGTTTAACCGTGTAGTCCTGATGACATCCTAGAGACACTGCAGTGATATTAATTTCGTTAGGATCGTATGATAATTAAGCCTTTGAGAAAAAGAAAACGTGAAGTATTAAGTATTATTATTTAAGCAACCTTCAACATATTGGTCTACTGACTACCCCGCATATTTTCCTACTGACTACCATGACTACCTAACATATTGTCCTACTAACTATTGACTACCCAGCATTTTTTCTTAGTGACTACCATGACTATACCTAGCATATTGTCCTACTGACTACCCAGCATATTTTCCTACTGACTACTATGACTACCTAGCATAATGTCCTACTCACTACTTAGCATATTGTCCTACTCACTACATGACTGCCTAACATATTGTCCTACTGAATACTATGACTACCTAGCATGTTGTCGTACTAACAACCTAGCATATTATCCTACTGACTACCATGACTATACCTAGCATGTGGTCCTACTGACTACCCAGCATATTGTCATACTGACTACTATGACTACCTAGCATAATGTCCTACTGACTACCTAGCATATTGTCCTACTGACTACCATGACTGCCTAGCATATTGTCCTACTGACTACCATGTCTGCCTAGCATATTTTCCTACTGACTACCTAGCATGTAGTCGTACTAACAACCAAGCATATTGTCCTACTGATTACCTAGCATATTGTTCTACTGACTACATAGCATATTGTCCTACTGACTACCTAGCATATTTTCCTACTGACTACCTAGCATATTGTCCTACTGACTACTGACTCCCTAGCATATTGTCCTACGGACTACTAACTACCTAGTATATTGATCTAATGACGATAGACTACCTGCAATATTGTCTTACTGATTTCTACTACCTAGCATATTGTCCTACTGACTTCTAACTACCTGGCATATTGTCCTGCTGAAAGCTCCATAAAGAAAGCTGGTAGTCCAACAAAGACTAACGCCAGACAGTAAGGGATAAGAAAGCTGCCACCTATAAAAAGATACAGTGTGTGACACTAAACATTATTTATTGATTAATGAGAAAATGACATGTCGTCTTCTTTAGACATGATGCGGCATTCATGTAATTTCTCATTAAAAAACTGGCATTTCTAAAATGTGGTTTTTTTTATTGTCGAAATTTGTGGATTTAAAAACTAGAATTGTCAAAAATTCTATATGAGATGTAAAGAAGATAGGTAAGTAAGTAAGTAAGATTTATTAGAGATAAATCAAGATCATAATACATATTATAATATGATTAACATTCTCATAAGAATATAATTGTATATATCATGGGTTTTATCACAGATTAAGATAAGGTTATATCATAGGAAGTTTAATTTTCTCTGCATATAGGGAATAGCAGATTTTCTGTATTTCTCCGTTCTAGCATAGTTGACAGCAAATAATTCAACGTTCCGTAGCTGGTGGTTGTGAGTGACTGGTTCTACCGGGAATAGGGCAGAATGCCTTTGAGATTTTAGACATTTTTTAGCAAAGGATAAACAAGAAGATAGGTCACATTTCGGAAAGCTCAAATAACGCAAGACCTACCTTTTACAGTTATAAATAGTTTGAAAACAAATATATAATTATCATCATTTATAATTTATATTTATCATTTATAATCTCTTCATACATTTTTTATTTACCAGTTTGCTAACATTCATTCCAAGGAATGAAATCATTTGTTTTTTAAATAATGAATAATTGAAATATTTAACCAGTGAGGTCATTTAATAAGAATAATGTTTAATAGTGCAGTAGTAGGATTGATAAATAAAATCAGGGAGTCAGATTACAGCGATATAATGTCAAGGCTAGAAGACAGGGGTATAATGTCAAGGCTAGAATACAGTGGTATAATGTCAAGGATAGAATACAGTGATATAATGTCAAGGCTAGAATACAGGGATATAATGTCAAGGCTAGAATACAGTGATATAATGTCAAGGATAGAATACAGTGATATAATGTCAAGGATAGAATACAGTGATATAATGTCAAGGATATAATACAGTGATATAATGTCAAGGATAGAATACAGTGATATAATGTCAAGGATAGTATACAGGGATATAATGTCAAGGCTAGAATACAGGGATATAATGTCAGGGGTATAAAGTATACAGGGACATAATGTCAAGGCTAGAATACAGGGATATAATGTCAGGGGTATAAACTATACAGGGACATAATGTCAAAGGTAGAATTTAGGGATATAATGTCAAATAAAATAGGGAAATAGGATAATATAGGGATACAATTCAGTATTCAATATCATTGTCCAGGGTAAATTATTAGGATCAAATTAAGATGAAACACCTGAAAACCTTTTCCCCTGGCACAATTAATTTCATTCACTATCAAAATCTCTTTGAAAACCGTTGTAATAATGAAAAAATTACCTCCATTCCATTGTCAAAGGTTTTATATAAAAACTCTTGTAATAGTGAAACAATTACCTCCATTACCAAAGGTTTTACATAAAAACCCCTGTCATAATAAAGCAACTACCTCCATTATCAAAGGATTTATATAAAACCCATGTCATAATAAAGCAACTACATCCATAATCAAAGGTTTTATATAAAAACCCATGTCATAATAAAGCAACTACCTCCATTATCAAAGGTTCTATATAAAAACCCTTGTAATAATGAAACAATTACCTCCATTATCAAAGGTTCTATATAAAAACCATTGTAATAATGGAACAATTTTCTCGATTACCAAAGGTTTTATATAAAAACCCTTTTCATAATAAAGCAACTACCTCCATTATCAAAGGTTTTATATAAAAACCCATGTCATAATAAAGCAACTACATCCATTATCAAAGGTTTTATATAAAAACCCATGTCATAATAAAGCAACTACCTCCATTATCAAATGTTTTATATAAAAACCCTTGTCATAATAAAGCAACTACCTCCCTTATCAAAGGTTTTATATAAAAACCCTTGTCATAATAAAGCACCTACCTCCATTATCAAAGGTTTCATATAAAAACCCTTGTCATAATAATGCAACTACCTCCATTATCAAAGGCTATGTATGGAAACCTCCAGACGTTTCCAAGTCCTACAGCAAGCCCAAGAGAGGAAAGGAAAAATTCAATATGGCTCCCCCAGGACTCACGCTCTTCCACCATCTTAGATTAAAAACAATATTTCTTTTTTAGATTTTGTGATTTTATGCTACTTTTTCATTGTGACTTTTCGCATCGCCCAGTTGAGAGACTGTTGAGAAAAAAAATTGAAGGTCGGCATTCATTCAATAAACTGATTTCAGTAATGAAAGTTAATAATCACAAAATACCCCTAGTCCTTGCATTTCCTAAATGTGGTCTGGATTTTTTGTCGGAAACATAATTCTTAATAGCTCTGAGCCGGCGATTTAAAAAATTCAAGAAAATACGACTCGGGTCTAAGCTGTTGTTGAGCCTTATTTACGGCTCGGGCTTTCGAATTTAAGTTGCATCTATTTTTCAACAGAATTTAGTTCATAAAACCGGTTTAATGTTGTATTTGGCGGATTTTCATAGTTGGAATTGGCGCATTCCGAGTTTTGATGAGAATAAGACCCAACATTGAGCCTTATTCTTCACTAAAACCAACCAAGGTTGGTTTTATTTTCATTGGGCCTAACTCCTCAAGTCGAGCCTAAGATCTCGCAGCTGTCAATCACGTGACACAAGCTGTCGTCAGAGTTGGGTCTTAAAGCTGCGTTTAAGGAATTAAGACTCGAGCCGAAGTTTTTAAATCGCCAGCTCTGGTAATAAAAGGCAGACCATGTTTGGTTTGGACTTGGGGAATTTTGTTATTATTGTTTTAAGGATCGTAAATCTAAAAGTAGGTTGAAGAATAAATGCCGCAAATTATTTTTAAGATCAAAGACGACCTTCAAGTCGTGTCTCAATTTTCAAGACTTTCAAATCAGGATTCAGGACACCTAAACCAATGTGTCGTGGTTCAAGTTTAAGGTTTACCGAAACAAAAGTTGACATTAATATTAAAAATTTTAAAAAATAAACTCACGTACTAAGAGTTTTAGCTCCTTTTAGAATTGCTTCATAGACAAGTTTTAAGTCAAGTCCGATTTACAACAATACCCAGCAAACATTTAATTGGCCAACAATAAGCCAAATATTATTCAAAATATAATTATCAGAAAAAATACAAGGAAATCTTTTTCATTTTTGTTCTAATGGAGATTCAAAGGGTAACGTTGAGAAACGGGCATACTTCTTTTAAATTGCAGATTGAAGGGACTGAAAAGGAAAAATGAAAGGGGGTATAAGCTTAAACCCGAGAATCTCAGGAGTTGAACGATACATATTAAACATCCTGTTTCGAGAAATTGATAAAAAAAAACTGTGTCAAAATTATACGAAAATTTATCTATATACAATTTTGTATAATCAACAAATACGAAACCAATCTGAAAACGATTAAATCTCAAAGGAGCCAGAAAAACTCATATATGCTCCTATTATAATTTTTTAATTTTGATTTTGCATTTTGAATAGAAATATATATAATTGATAATATTATTACATATAGTCCGTATTACGTCACTAGAACTTCAGCCAATGACAATGCAGTATTGTTGTCACGTGATACAGACGGAAACCACGTGACCAGTACACCCCCTTTCATTTTTCCTTTACAGTCCCTTTAAATTAAGTCTACATTACATTGAAACTATGTAAAAATTAAATGTTTAATATGTTAATCGGTCGTTAAAGAACGTTGTGTTTGCCTTCGTTCAGATCATAAACAGCTTAAACTAGAACTTCGGAGACATCGAAATTATTTATAAAACATCGTCCTGGCAACTTTTCAATGAGTTTTATACTTATATACCTAAATCTTAGTAATTTGAAGAAATGAAGAACAAGGCCGTACACAGAATTAAATGTGGGGGGGGGGGGGGAAATATGCCCGAAGCGCCAAAAAAATGTTGACCCCCCTCCTAGGGGGGGGGGGGCAAATTTGAACTGTAAATTCAAAACATTTGGCTTCTTGGATACTTTAAAGGTACACATTCACTATACAGTCCAATTAACTTACAATTGCTACTTTATCTCTCCTTCAAACAAAACGATCAGAAAAAAAGCAAACTAATTTTTAATGTCCTTCACTCTTCAAATTTCAGATTTTAAAAGTGTGATAGCTCTGATTTCTAAGGGGGGGGGGCACTGCCACCCATTCCCACACCCCGTATACGCCCTTGTTTGTTTGTACGGTTTTTCTAACTTTTACATGAAAGAAAAAATACTTATTCTTTGTACAGACATTTTTTGTGCAGAAAAGGGTAATTCTGAATACTAAAAATACGTTAGATGTCAGGAGTTCCAATTCGAAAAAGATGATTTAGCCGAATACAAACTTGAATAATTTAGTTTTTTTTCCACAATGAATCAAAATCGAGACAAAATCTATTTGATAGAAATAAATGACCCCCACTCCTATCTGTGTACGCCCTTGATGAAAACCATAAAATATACGGGAACAGTTTTAAAAATTGAATATCTGCGGCAGTCCATTGTCAGCAGGTTTAGAAAATGACAAATATAAATTCGTTCAATGTCTGCGAAGCTCTGGGTTAAATTTTATATAGTTTACACGTTCAAAATGTCAAAAAAGAAATATTAGATTAAAAATAAATTAAAAAATTGATGCTAAATTTTTACACATTTGTTCATTTTTAAAAGGTTCACCTTGATTAATCACTTTTATCAATTAAACTTGAAGTTTTTTATCTTTCCTCTTCTGTAGGACTGGGTGGCTGATTCTGGACAGAATACAGTCTAAACGCATCTTATCTCTCTCTATACAGTCTGTAGAATACAAGATAATTTACTTCAAAGATGAACAGAACAAATAATGCTTTACGTATTAAAATTATTATTTCTAGATTTTAGTTTGTAAATAAAGAGATTTAAGACACTAGTTGATGAGAGATGAAAATATACTTTTTATTTATTTATTTCAGAAATAGAAATTAATCGATTTGAACATATCAAATAGTTTCCATAGCCTACAGATTAAAAAAAGAATTAACGTTTTTCCATATAAACATTTTTTACAATATTCGCAACATCTTTGCCAAAAAATGCTTAATTATTTTCAGCCCAAAGTTCCATGCTCGATGTTATCAAGCTTTTTTAATAATTTGTTAATTAAAAAGTTGCTCTTTTTTCGATTGTCCTTCGTTTAGTTTGTATAACATAATACTACTTTAATATATATTAACTTGATGTTGATCAACTTTATTTTTCCATTTTATTTTCTTATCTCATGAAAGATTGATGAGGAAAAATTCCTAAACAACGTTTTATAAAATGAAAAAAAAAAAAAAAAAAAAAAGAAAATAAAGGCAAAAAGAAAGAAAAAATAAAAAAATATTTAGAGAGAAGAAAGGCAAAAAAGACAAAAAGAAAGATAGGATGGAAAAGAAAAAGAAAGAAAAAGAGCGAGATTAAATAAAGAGAAAAAGGAAAAGAAAGAAAGAAAGAAAATTTATTAATACGTCACAGAATGAGAAAGACTAAAGAAGCTGATTGCGTCTTAGTCTCAAATTCTTCCTATCTTTTAATATGAAATTTTAAAAAACTCAAACCTAAGTTCCTGTTCTTAACACAAAATAAACAAAAAGATTTGCAAGAATTGATATTTGTTAATATTTTTCATACTTTTCTCAGTTTCATTAATAAACATTGAAAAACTAGAAACTGATCTATGTTTTTTAAGCTGAAAGTATTTTCGGACATACAGTGGCAGGCGATAATATCAATATAATGAAGACGACTTACGATATAAATTTTAATTTATATTAAGCTTTAAATAGCAAGGACACCCAAAGTCTGGAAAAAAAGAAAATCTGTCAATTAAAAAAAGCTTCTCAATAATTATTTGTAAACTTAAAATTCGAAAAAAGCTTGTTAACAACTAAAACTTCAATAAAAAGTCGTCTTCGTTATATTGGTATTATCGCCTACCACCGTATAAAACTGTGGAATTTAGGACGATAGCTATTAGACTCAAGTTACGTCGATTAAAAGTTCAATGAACATACAACACAGCATACAACGTACATGTACATGTACGTTGATTTGCAAACCACTTGCTCGATGACAACTTTAAATAGACATAAAATCCATGAAATGTCGTCTAACTATTCCACAGCTTTTTTAGTCTCACTGTTTGTTTCTCATTAAAAGGTTTAACGAATATATTTACAAGAAATAACGAAATAAAAAAACATTTTCTGTTTTAGTTTTTTTGAGACATTGTTTAACTAATTTTATGACTAATATATTACTCCGGTTTAGAAAGTAATGGATTGATAAATAACTATTCTATAATGCTTCCATCATAGGTTTAGAAGAACTGAAATCTGAACCGTTAATATACTTTAGTTGTAGTTTCTAGATCTATATACATAGATAGGGATGGACACTTTAGTACTTTTACAATCTAGAATTTAGATCTACATATATAGATATGGCTGGACACTTTAGCCTTTTACAATCTAGATTCTAGATCCATATACATAGATAGGGATGGACACTATAGTACTTTTACAATCTACATTCTAGATCCATATACAAAGATAGGAATGGACACTTTAGTACTTTTATAATCTAGATTCTAGATCCATATACATAGATAGGGATGGAAACTTTAGTACTTTTATAATCTAGATTCTAGATCCATATACATAGATAGGGATGGACATACTTTAGTACTTTTATAATCTAGATTCTAGATCCATATACATAGATAGGGATGGACATTTTAGTACTTTTATAATTTAGATTCTAGATCCATATACATAGATAGGGATGGACACTTTAGTACTTTTACAATCTTGATACTAGATACATATAAAGATTCCCATTCCCGATTCATAACAGTACCCTAAAAAGCTTTGTATGATCAATTAGAAATTAGAAATTAATGTTTCTAACTTTAAATACTGATCATTTTCAAATGCTGTTTCTCTGCAAAGTGACTTGCCCATTTCGATTACAGGAAAACAAAGAGGAATTATCAGAAATAACCACTTTTAAACCTGGAAAAACGACAATTGGGCAGAGCCATCTTAATGGAGAGGCCTATTACATATGTTACTGTTTATTTTTAACATATGACTGAATATTTGTGTTGAAACTGTTAACTGGTTTCTCTGTTTGTTTACAGAATTTGTACAGTCCTACTGTCACTACAGTCACCTTCCATTTGTCAATTCACAATGGAACACACTAAACCGTTATCTGATCAATAACATGAATGATATCGTCATTTTGCTAGGATTAAAAGGAGTTACCGGCTATGTAAGGTACAGAGCGTCCCATATCATATTAGATTATTTCCAATCTTTAACACCTAAATACGCACATTATACTCAAAAATCTAGCATTTTCTGCAAAAAAAAATTCTATTAGCCTAAATCATTTTTTCAAAATGATTCATTCTTCTTAAATTTTCTGATTTGTCCCCCCAAATCGTAATTTAGACCCACTGACGCGGTCTAATTTGATGTGGGACACCCTGTAGTTGAAATGAGTATGCAGTGTTGTGGAAAACTTCTTTCGGATTCATTTGAAACATATTAAACTTATTAAAGATCTGTAAATCCTGAGTTTGAGCGCAAATTCGACGTTCAAAACTCCTACTTTGGGGGTGGATACGCTTTCAGAATTAGCTTTTTTTAAATTATTAAATGACGACAACGAAAAATAAAGTAAAAATTATACAGTAATCTAATTAGATGGTGTTAGGAACATATTTCTCTAAAGAAATTTGTCAGTAAATCAATGCTAAAATCGATTATTTCGTTTTCATTATTATATTGAATTTCTTACCTTTTTTGAATTTATTCGCAGATTTCTTCAAATTCTTCAAATTTCGTCTTTTCAATAATAATTCTAGCGAATCTGCGAAAATCTTTTGAATAATGAGAAATCGGAATAATGAGAAAATAGAAACTAATAATTGAACAAGTTTACTTTTTTTTCGATGATAATATTAATTTTTATTTTCTCAACATGTTCCTATACATGACGTCTGTAGTTTATTGTAGAATTTTTTTTACATTTCATGTCGTCGTTATTTAATAATTTTAAAAAACTAATTCTGAAAGCGTATCCACCCCCAATGTAGGAGATTTAAACGTCGAATTTGCACTTAAACTCAGGATTTACAGATCTTTAACAAGTTTAATATGTCTCAAATTAATCCGAAAGAAGTTTTCCACAACACTGCATACTCAGTTCAACTACCTTACAAAGCCGGTCACTCCCTTTAAAAGTGGTTCATGCTCACAATCAAAAATCTGTAAGTAACGTTTACTGTAAAATCTTGACTGAAAATTAACAATTCTATAAAGAGAAATCATGGATAGTTCATTCACGGGCAGTTGTATAGTAAATTTGAATTTCCAAGCCGGGTCAACCTTTCCGGTCCCAATGTGTACTGTACGTAGCTCTATTGACAGGACTAGTCGGTGCAACAACTAAGGTTAATGCAGTCAGACTTTATGCTTCATTGAATTTACTTTTACTTAAGGGGCAGATTTGCGTGCATTAATACTTTATCAGACAAAACGTATGCGGGTAAAGTTGGGAATCGAAACTTCTCTTCGGAAGGTTACTTGAAATTATATCATACGCGAGCATTAGCTGATTTGATCATTAGGTAAAGTCGTTTTTTGAGCCTATTTTTTTCTGGTGGCTACTGTACGCTTAACGTTGTAAAACTCTCCTAAATGCAATTTAGGATTTACAATTGAATATCCTTTTTTTGGTTCTTTCCATCTATCAAGACAAATAATCAGAGTATGTTAAAGTTTTATTTTCAATAATTTTTTCACGATAATATTATTCTGTTTTCCGCCATTTTCCCGTAATATCTCCAGCACGCAAACTGAAACGAGTTCCTGAACAAAAATAATAAATTTAAAATTCGGTGATAGTGATGGACCAAACCTCTGTAGAGTAAAAAAGTAGATTTTAGTTCCACATTTATTGAAAATATATTTCGGTCTGGGTTGACCCTCGTCAGTTCTGAGGATATAATAACCATAAAAATCGATAAAAAAATTTTTAAATGTTTGTTAAAAATCACAAGAAAAAAAACAAACAAAAAGATTATTAAAAATTAAAAATTTGGGCTGTCAAATGGACATAAGGGAAACGAACTTAGATTATGAGATGGAAAAAAGATAATGTGCAAATATTCACTTTTTAAATAATAATTTTTTATCATACAATTCAATCGGTTAAAATGAGTTGTTAAACCAATTGGTTTCGTTTGAAAAGTTCTGAGCTGATATCATATTGAATTATATACTTCTCTTTATACTTATAAGAGTATATATATAGTTCTGAGCTGATATCATATTGAATTATAAACTTCTCTTTATACTTATAAGAGTATATATATAGATGTGCGATATTATTTTGGATTGTCTCCAAGCTGTCTTGCCAAAATACACGCGAATATTACTAGAAAACCTTGTATTTTCTGCAAGAAATTTTGCTATAGCGTTACCAATTTTTTTCGGTGCTTCATTTTTTTTAATTTTCTGATCAATTTAGAGCTATAAGCTATCTTACACAGGGTGTCCCAATACACATGGGAATTCAGTGACAAAATGGATATCGTCTTTGTTATGAATTAGCATTGTATTACCTAATTTCAAAAGCCATAATATTATTATGTCTGCTAGAATTTATTTTATGAAAAGGGTAAAAGACTGTAAAGATGTGTCTATAATGTCTCCTCAAGATGAACAGTGAAGACCGACAAGTTTACTCTGTATACGGCAATTTTCTTGTTTTACTAAGTACAACCGTTTGCAGCCAAAACATAAACAAACCAATCTGAACATAGCAGACGAAACTCTTACAGATTACAGCTTTCTCCGCAGGTATCACTATACTAAATCAAAGAATTATTTGAAAAGACGATAATGTACAGCGAGACCGATCGACTTCATTTATCGTCTTCATTTGACATTTGAATGGGTCTCTGTAAATGAATAAAGTGACCTGATAAGAACATGGAGTGTGTGTGGTTTCTCTAAGCCCTCAAGAAGTCCCAGCTGTCTTAGGTGGAGCTGCAGGGTTAACCTGGGGTCAATATAGGTCATCATGTATTATCTAGGTTAACCTGGGATCAATAGAGGTCATCAGATGGTTTCTAGGTCAACTTGAGTTCAGTAGAGGTCATCTGGCATATTTTAGGTCGGCATTGGGTCAATGGAGGTCATCAGGTATATTTTAGGTCTACCTTGGGTAAACATAGGTCATCCAGCATATTTTAGGTCTACCTTGGGTAAACATAGGTCATCAGGTATATTCTAGGTCAACCCAGGTCAGTAGAGGTCAACAGGCATATTTTAGGTTAACCTTGAGTCAAGGGAGGTCATCAGGTATATTCTAGGTTAACTTGGGGTTAAAAGAGGTCATCAGCTATATTCTAGGTCTACCTGGGGTCAATAGAGGTCACAGGCAGTTTAAAGCCAACCCGGAGTATGTTAGAATTCATGCAGTAAAAGATTAAATTTAAAGGTTTTCAGGATTTATGATTGAGATTTAAAATCGAAATTTAAAGGTTGAAATTAGTTAAAGGTTTGAGGTTTAAGGTCAATATTTAAAATGTTTAATATTGAAGGTTTGGGATTAAATATTGAGTTTTTAAAAAGTTAACTTATCCATTTATTTTGTTGGCTTACTTGAAGTCATCAGATCTAAAAAAAAGTTGTTTAAAAATTGAACTTATATTGATCAATTTTTTAACCTTTTAATTCAATGTCAAAAAACTTGTTAATCTTTTTTAAACAACTATTTTCCTGATCGCTTGTGCTATAGCTGTTTCAACCATCTAAAAATAAGTTTTAGTTAAACAAAGCATTTGAAGTAAAAAAAGCAATTATTAGTCGAGGGCTAGTTGTGAGTTCACTTTTTAATAATATCTAATGTTGTTTTTCCGGAAAAAGAGATTGCTTGTATTTGACCTATTCCCTCATGCACTCAGATTCATTTTTTAAGGATTTTTTAAACCGTACAGTGGGACCTAAAAACTATGGAATAGGAAGACCATTGTACACGTTCTCATATCACGATTTTATGTAGTACAATTTAAGAACATAAAACACACACTTGTGCAAGGTAAGTGCACCCTTGCACAACCCATTTCACTTAAAACGTTGATTTTTTAGCAATAAGATCAATTACACAATGTTGCTTAAATGTTGCTTAAATTTTGCTTAAATGTTGCACACGAAAAAGCTTGTTTGAAAATTTACGTTTTTTGGTGTCACCTGGAGTTAACAATCCAAACTTAACTGGAGGTAAAAACTTCAAACTGACCTGAAGTTTTGATCTGAGTTGGTCTGAAACTTTGGTTGGCAGGTTCTCAAATATTTCCCAGTTTTTCTCACAACCCTTACAAGTTTGAAATGAGTATCTGTCAATCTGTCAATCTTCGATTTTTCTCCGAATTTGACAAACCAAAAAGACTTTTTTCTGCATGAAGTTTTGATTAGTTTTTTTTTTTAAATCAGATAAGTACAAATTGGAGACAAGAGTTAAAACCTTTCGAAATTTTTCATTAAAAAAAATATTTTTAAGTAAATTAATAAATTATGTAATAAAAAATATTTTTAAGTAAATTAATAAATTATGTAATAAAAAACTTACTTCACATTTACAAACAAAGTTGAAATTCCTATTAAGCCACCATTGTCGCTTCTCTCTGGTTTTAAATTTAAATTTAACAAAATTATATTGTCAATTAATCTTTCTGAGCTGGGAACTTTTGAATGGTGGATATCGGGATTAATGTTTGATCTCATCGTTTTCTTAATCTCCAGTTAACTGATCGGGATTAAGGACATTTCTTTCTAAAGTTCCCAGCTCTGTTCATTTAACTTTATATTGTAAGAATCGGATATTTAACATTTTTTCAATTTTTGAATTTAAAAAAAATGAATTAAAAACCCTCCTAAGGATTTCACTGAAATGCATACTGTAAATATCAGTTATCTCATCTCCAGAGCTTATTCTAAATAATATCTTTGTTTAAATTTGTTTCTTTATTAAAGGGAGTGTTAAAAGTGGATGAGAGGAGGGTATAGACTGATATCATAATATTTTTTATTTTGTTTTTTAATTTATATTTCGCTAAAAAGTTGTTTTAACGGCTAGTACTGAATTTTGGAACATTCCTGGAGATTATGAAAATGTTTTGTTTTTTTCAAAAATCCTCAAAATTTCAGAAAAGAAAATTTTCAAAAGTAACTTTTGGATCGGTAATATCAACTATACGAATGTATCGAATTGAATTCGACAATTGTAAGTTTTATATAAAAATTAATAGTTTTCTTAATTTAACTGAATTATTTACGATTTGAGTAAAATAATGCAGCTCTGTTAATTTATATGGATGTTACGCACTTGGGAAATTTTTAACCATTTTTTCTCCTTATACAGTATATATAGTATAGTATATATACACGCAACAGATAGAAGTTAAATTTTTTTAAAAGAGATTTTTTTGTCCCCAGGACATGATCGGGTTGTTACGATCAAATCTCGGAATTTTTTCTATTGCGAAAGTTTGGTGTTGTCTGGGTTTTTATATTGATCTACCAGGGGTTGTAATCTGGCAGCACATTCATCCATCCACGCTTCATTCATTCTGAGAAGAGGGTTGACAAGATTCCAGCTGCCTAAGATTCTTCTTAGGCCTGAGAATATAGAGTGCAGGAATCCTTCTGATATACTGGAATGAGGCCCGGGTGCCGTACTGATAGGAAACATCACACTCATTGCTCCCTAACATCTGTAAGCCCGGATTGGATACCCCCAGGTACCTATAGCTGGCAACCACAGACTCTCCCTGCTTGTCTTCCATTCCTCTCTTCATCGTCATTCACTTGGACCAATCCCACTTGAAGCTTCTTTCTTGTTGAGCAGAAAGCACGCACCCTTTCGCTGCGAGAGTTGTTGACAGCCGCCCCTCTGTCCTCCTACATCCGTCAGGTGGTCATAACTGCTAAACCAGATGTCGGCTTCAGATGTTTTTGAAACCACAGGTTTGTGTGGAGTACGGGAATCGAACCCGTGAACACCAGTCTGGACACCAATCCAGTTACTGGCTGTGGACAAGTGTGCTTAACTTCAGTGATCTAACGAGAACTGGTGTCACACACTCTCCACCCATAGAAGTTAAATTAGTAGCGATCAAAATCGAATTCATTTCGATATCAGCCTATAAACCCCCTTTCATTTTTCGCGAACACTTCCCTTAAATCAACACTTTTGTAATAGTTTTGTAAAATTAATGTAAATCTATGCATTCATTTTGTTCCGTAAAATATAGATTGACCCTAAAGTGAAAGTTTGTGGCTAGTCCTTTCCTCAAAGTTTTTTTATTATCTGTTTTGAAATCCACCAATGGAAATATGAAAATCTGTAAAGTTTTTATAAGTTATTGCAGAAAGATATTTATCATTAACAAATCACATGGATTTGAAGGTTCTGTCAATATTTCATAAAGCTGTGACCTTCGATCACATATTTTTTTAACCTTTTTTCTTAAATACATTTTGTCAGTACGTTTTGAATGAAAAAGTATAAAATAAACAAATCCGAAAATTTAAGGGTTGTTGAATTATAGACCAAAACACGTTTTATTTGAAATAAAAGTAAGCCGAATGCTTCTCACTTTGGTGAGTCCGGGGTGTGTTGTGAATTAGGTATCTTATTCTTAGAATGAAGGATAACTTGAAATCTCGTCATTACTCCCTTTAATAGACAGGGTGTCCCAAAAAACATGGGAATTCAGTGAGGAATTAGATATCGTCTTTGTTATGAATTAGCATTGTAATACCTAATTTCAAAAGCCATAATATTATTATGTCTGCTAGAATTTATTCTATGAAAATGGTAAAAGACTGTAAATATGTGTCTATTGTCTCCGCAAGATGAACAGTGAAGACAGACAAGTTTGTATACTGCAATTTTCTTGTTTTACTAAGTACAACCGTATGCAGTCAAAACATAAACAAACAAAATGTGAACATGTCAAACGAAACTCTTACAGATTACAGCTTTCTCAGTAGGTATCACTATACTAAAACAAAGAATTATCTAAAAGACGATATCGAATTCGTCACTGAATTCCCATGTTTATTTGGACACCCTGTAGATATTCTGACCTGGAGCTTGAAATGAGCATCTGAGTTCTGCCAACGTTGACTCTCAAGGTATTCGGAGAACAGGAATGATTAAAGTAACTGCCAACTATTGGATAGATGGCACTTCCAATAGTTTCCAGCCCGATCTGTAATTAAAGGAAGAGTTTGCGAAAAAAAATGCCAGATGATTTTATGATGAATTAAAATAGAACCATATGGTTCATTCTACGGTGAGACTCATTAAATGTCAACTAGGAAGTCGACTGTTATGATTAAACATAAAAGACAGCAATTGTATATTATTCCCTGGCCTATTTTACTTAGATACGTCTTCCGTTTTCAACTTTTTTTGGTTCTCACTGTACAATCTTTTGTGAAAACTTTCCCTTTAACGCTAAAAATTTTAAAGTTTAAAATAAAATTGTGTGCCTAGTCAGGTTTCACACAATATTGAATCAACATTTGTTTAATTAAAGGGAGTGACCGGCTATGTAAGGTAGTTGAACTGAGTACGTAGTGTTGTGGAAAACTTCTTTCGGATTCATTTGAGACATATTTAACTTTTTAAAGATCTGTAAATCCTGAGTTTGGGCGCAAATTCGACGTTCAAAACTACTACTTTGGGGGTGGATACGTTTTCAGAATTAGTTTAATTAAATTATTAAATAACGACTACGAAAAATAAAGTAAAAATTATACAGTAATCTAATTAGATGGCTAGGAACATATTTCACAAAAGAAATTTGTCAATAAATCAATGCTAAAATCGATTATTTCGTTTTCATTATTATATTGAATTTCTAATTTTCTTTGAAATACTTCAAATGTCGTCTTTTCAATAATAATTCAAGAAAATCTGCAGAACATGTTTGTGTATAATGTGAACTAGAATATTGAGAAAATAGAAACTAATAATTGAACAAGATTACTTATTTTCGATGATAAGATTAATTTTTATTTTCTCAAAATGTTCCTAAACATGACGTCTGTAGTTTATTGTAGAATATTTTTACATTTTATGTCGTTGTTAATTAATAATTAAAAAAAAAACTAATTCTGAAAGCGTATCCACCCCCAAAGTAGGAGTATTTAACGTCGGCTTTGCGCTCAAACTCAGGATTTACCGATCTTTAAAAAGTGTAATATGTCTCAAATGAATCCGAAAGAAGTTTTCGACAACACTGCATACTCAGTTCAACAACCTTACATAGCCGGCCACTCCCTTTTTAAGCTTTAGTTGAATTTTGTGATTTTTACCTACTCATAAAACTTAGATTTTTCCAACCCAATTTAGTGCAGTGCACTATTTAAAGATTGTATTCAAGTCAAAGAAAAAAAATAAGTCTTCAAATCGTTTTATTTCAAATGGGCATATTATACAATTTACAAAGTGATCTAAAGTTTGCAAGCTATCACGCAAAATTGACGAGAATTTTGCCAATTACTTTATAAAAACAGAACCTAAAATTAAGTGCGCTGTGGTTTTAACATGCACATGGTTAGGGCTACAAAAAAGTATGCATTAGTTAAATCAAAGCCCAGGGCGTTGCGACACTTTAAAATGGACACAGTCTATGATTTGTTGTACCTGGACGCTATGAGGGTTTGATTCCAGGCCGAATATTGGATGTGAATTCATGTCTTGAACCATAAACATATGCAGCAGAATTCGACCTTAAAAGGGTTTCGTTTTGACATGTTGGCATAAAATATAATAATAAATATTTTAGGATGACCACAGGACCATTCATAATCAAATTATAAATTGACTTTATTTTAATAAAACGTTGCTTAGCAAAGCCGCCAAAGATCCAAAAAGTTTTACAGTGAGAACCAGAAAACTCTGGAATAGGAAGAATACTTTTAGACTCAAAGTATGATTTAAATAGTTAAAAATCAGACTTGAACATTAGCACAGCAATTATTTAGTCTAATAAGAACCATTTCACTTAATAATTACTTAATAAGTTACAGGGTGTTCCACGAAACATGACAGTTGGTGAATAGTTTTAAATATCTTCTTCCATATACTGTATTAGATGTTTAAAACTTTTTGCAGTTTACTTAGTTTTAAAAAAAACTTTACTCAAATATATTTTACTTAGATATCAATTTTACTATTATATGGATGCCATATTTATTATTATTCAAACAACTTGTGTTGACGGAAAACAGCAACACGCTAGACAAATCAGGATAATAGGCCAGTTAGGATTCTGGTGGGGGATGTTTATTTTCCCCGGACGATTCTTTCCCGATAGGCCGCACAAATACACACAACAGAGTAACCCCGTCTCAGAAATTCGATAACAAAATCTTTATTTCCTAAAAAATAACATAAATTATAGGTCATGGTTACTTGTACAATGTTATAATGAATGTTAATAGTAGAAAAAATCTTACGAATTATTTAGGGATGGTCGGGGGTGACTTATTGTTGATCAGTATTGAAATACGTTTTTTTAACTTCTGAAAAATTACAGTTGAATATTTAACGAAATTCACTAATGCTTCTTATGAAAGTATTTTGCTTAACTTTAATGATTTCACAACAACGAAAATATTTTAAGCTCCGTCGGAGGAGTACAAAGGGAATTGCGGGCTGAAAATTTGGTTTGGCTGTCTCCGAGAGGAGATTCAAGTTGAAGACGACATTTTACAGAGGTCTTAAATTAATGGTTAACAACTTGACATATTTTGGAAGAAGACATGTTAAACTATTCACCAACTGTCATGTTTCTTGGTACACCCTGTACTAGTAAAACTATTTGCTTTGAAACAACATCATACACACACTTAAGTATTGATTTAATGTCGTCTTCCTATTCCTCACTATTTTCTCACCATAGTTGTATTATTACATTTTCAAAGCTTCCTGATTTTTGCTGGGTTTAAATTTCGAGAGCTGATATGAGTTTAAATACTAGTTTCTTTTCGCTCCTCCAATACTGCAATACAAACATATTTCAGCATTTTCTTATATTTTAAATACCTAAAAATATTTCCTCGCTGGAGAGAGGACCAACTTTCTTTTCCTAAAAATTTTTGAAATAAAATTTCTCATAAAATTTGTTCATAAATTTTAAGTTAAGGCCTGAATATGTAAAAAATTATTCATTAAATTAAGAATAAAGATTATCAGAAAAAAAATACTAAAAATGTAATTTTTAAGTTAACCTGGTGATAACTGGTTAAACGAAGGGTTCTTAACAGGAAAACAGAGATAACGTAACATTTTATTCTGCTCTCTGTATCCCTAAACATGAAACAGAAAAAACGTAACATTTTATTCTGCTCTCTGTATTCCTAAGCAAGAAACAGAGATAACGTAACATTTTATCCTGATGCTCTCTGTATCCCTAAACAGTAAACAGAAATAACGTAACATTTTATTCTGCTCTCTGTATCCCTAAACAAGAAACAGAAAAAACGTAACATTTTATTCTGCTCTCTGTATTCCTAAACAGGAAGCAGAGATAACGTAACATTTTATCCTGATGCTCTCTGTATCCCTAAACAGTAAACAGAAATATCTTAACATTTTATCCTGCTCTCTGTATTTCTAAACAGAAAACATGAAACAAAAATCTTGCATTCTAAAATGAGTGACATTAGCTGAAATAAATGGACAAAACAAGAAATAAACTAATTTTCTTATAAATGTTTTTTGTTAATTATGTAGCTAGAGGAGATATGTCCTTTATCTATTTTAAGGAAGTGAGTACTTGCCTCAAACTAAGACGAACTAAGTTTTGCCACAAACTCTGATTTTCAAGATTTTGTAACCTAACGGTTAGCCCTTTGATATTTCAAATTATAAACTCTGTTAGTTCAAATAGTTTAAGTTTGAAATATCAAAGGTTTACATCATCAGGTTGCAAAGATTTAGGGATTAAATAATTATAGTTTGAGATAAGTAATCAGTTTCTCGAATTATATTTCCCCACCTAGTTTCCTTGTGTGTTACCATATTCCAGAACTGATTAAAAAGTTCATCCGAACTATGGTTTTCTAATGTAGTCTCGTTGATGTTAGTGCGGAAGAACTCAAATGGTTTCTGTGTAAGAGCCTGAAATTTTATCATTCTTATTATAAAATGAAACTAAAACAATTCATAATTTATTTTATTTAGTTTCTAAAAATCAAATCAAAATGAAACTAAAACAATTCATTATTGATTTTATTTAGTTTCTAAAAATCAAATCAAAATGAAACTAAAACAATTCATTATTGATTTTATTTAGCCTCTAAAAATCAAATCAAAATGAAAATAAAACAATTCATTATTGATTTTATTTAGCTTTTAAAAATCAAATCAAAATAAAACTAAAACAATTCATAATGGATTTTATTTAACTTCTAAAAATCTAATCAAAATGAAACTAAAAGAATTCATAACTGATTTTATTTAGTTTCTAAAATCAAATCAAAATGAAACTAAAACAATTCATAATTGATTTTATTCAGCTTTTAAAAGTTAAATCAAAATGAAACTAAAACAATTCATAATTGATTTTATTCAGCTCCTAAAAATCTAATCAAAATGAAACTAAAACAATTCATAATTGATTTTATTTAGTTTCTAGAATCAAATCAAAATAAAACTAAAACAATTCATAATTGATTTTATTTAGCTTCTAAAATCAAATCAAAATGAAACTAAAACAATTCATATTTGATTTTTTTTAGCTTCTAAAACTTAAATCAAAATGAAACTAAAACAATTCATAATTGATTTTATTTAGCTTCTAAAATCAAATTAAAATGAAACTAAAACAATTCATATTTGATTTTATTTAGCTACTAAAAATTAGATCAAAATAAAACTAAAACAATTCATAATTTATTTTATTTAGCTTCTAAAATCAAATCAAAATTAAATTAAAACAAATCATAATTGATTTTATTTAGTTTCTAAAAATCAAATCAAAATTAAATTAAAACAAATCATAGTTGATTTTATTCAGTTTCTAAAAATCAAATCAAAATGAAACTAAAACAAATCATAATTGATTTTATTTAGCTTCTAAAATCAAATCAAAATTAAATTAAAACAAATCATAATTGATTTTATTTAGTTTCTAAAAATCAAATCAAAATGAAACTAAAACAATTCATTATTGAATTTATTTAGTTTCTAAAATCAAATCAAAATAAAACTAAAACAATTCATAATTGATTTTATTTAGTTTCTAAAATCAATTTAAAATGAAACTAAAACAATTCATAATTGATTTTATTTAGCTTCTAAAAATCAAATCAAAATGAAACTAAACCTATTCATAATTGATTTTATTTAGTTTCTAAAATCAAATCAAAATAAAACTAAAACAATTCATAATTGTTTTTATTTAGTTTCTAAAAATCAAATCAAAATAAAACTAAAACAATTATACCTGATTAAGTTATGGTTCTTTATTTGGACCAACTCGTCCTAAATTAAATGAATTCATTTTTTGACACAAACTAAAATTTTCTTATAACTTTATCTTTTTGAATTCTTTGTTTAAAATATCTAAGGTCTACAACATAAAGGGGGATATATCTATCATAGATTTATTTTATAGTCTCTACTATATTATTTGCAAATCTATATATAAATTTGGCTTGTCTGTCTGGGTGTCTGTTTGTTTGTTTGTTTGTATCCAATAAACGTCAAAACGGCTGAACCGATCGGGCCCATTTTTTTGTGGGACATCACGTGACCACAGGGAAGGTTTATGAATGATAACAATTTTAAAAAAATGTGTTTTAAAGGTTTTTAGTTTTGTAAAAAAAAATTAAATTCTTGAAAATCCGCGAATTTTTTTTATATCTGCTAAATTTTTTTCTTCTTTGTTTTAAAATGTAAACAAAAAGAACATGTTCACAATTTAAATAGAAGATGGGCGCGAAGCGCCCTAAAAGCCTAGTAATCTATTATTCTCAATGTAAATATATTAATGTGTAATATTGCAATAAAACTTTATCCCGTAAATATACATAGAATACACTGTAAATCAATTATATATTTGCTCTCGACGAATTTTTTTCGGGGGGGGGGGGTAGGCGGCAGAAAGGCCCGGCGTTGCCGTACAAAAAAAAGTTTTGAAAAAAAAATGTTAATAAACAAATTCTATTTTTTTGGCCTATGGCACCCTTCGGCTACCCATGAGGGTCCACAACAAATGTCAGCCAATCTTGTCCAGCCGTTTGGTCGGCCAGAGGAAACATATATATATGGATGTGTTGTTTTACTATATACATGGATAGATATAGGATTAAAAAATAAGAGTTTTTGACAAAGACTCAATTCCTTATTATACTATATAAGATAATTTTGAAAAAAATCACAGCTAATTAAAAAATAAATATGCTTTTCAATATCACACTATCATAAATGTTTGAATCTTAAAGATTTAATTTTTTCCAAGAATCATGTCCATACATGAACAATAAAAATTATCTGAAGATGTTCAATCAAACCCCTTATCTACTATGCAATTGCTTATTAACTTGAATATATATTTGTAATCAAATAAATCTTTGATTTTTAAAAGATACGGAAATGTTGTTAAACAAAAAGTTCAAATTCCAAATTCAATTTGATTTTTTTGTGCCGATAGCAATTCAGTAAAATAAATAAATATTTTTTTTGATTTTGAATTTAAGCATACCATTCAGTACAACATAGCATATTTATTTTATATATACATATTTTGTAAGTGATGAAATCTTGATAATAATAATTTAGGAAATCTTATTATTTTGTATAATTTAATTATCACGTTACCTCAATCTTCTCTTTATCTTGTTTAAGTTTAATCTTGAGGTAGGTTTCTTGAAGAATAGATTTAAACTTTGTTCTACTGGATTCACTTAGATCAGAACAATCTTAAATACTTATAATTAATGCTTACTTCACTGTTAAAAAATCTCTAAACCTTTGTTTTTATTATTAAATCTTACTGAAAGTGTTTCAAAATTACAATTATTTTGTTCGAAATTGTAAAAAGAATGTGAATGATATAAAAAGGAACTGATTTTTTGCCTCAAACATTTTTTTTTTTTCATCCCAATTTCTTAGCAACCCACCGAAGTCGTAGACCTTTGAAATTTCAAACTGAATACAAAACAATAAGGAGAATCTGATTTTTTGCCAGAAACTCAAATTTTCTAATCCATATATCTTTGCAACTTGGCTGTGAAAACCTTAGACTTTTTAATATAACAGAATTTTGAAATCTACGACAATGAGTTGTTTAGATATAGAAATTAGAAGATTTGAGTTTGTAGAAGCAAAGACTCAATGCCTTTATCTGTAATATTTTAATGTTTAATAAAATATTAATGCTCAAGTATTTCCTATGTCGAGTAGACAGGTGGATAAATACTCTCTAGCTAGAGTATATTCTCCTAGTTTAATAAAATATTAATGTTCAAGTATTTCCTATGTCGAGTAGACAGGTGGATAAATACTCTCTGGCTAGAGTATATTCTCCCAGCTTAGCACAGCACTGGACAATCTTATGCTCAACTGAAAACATTAAGAGTACATAGTACATAATGTAATTGTTGTAGTGTTATACATACATGTACTGTGCACATGGAGTACAACTGACGAGGATACGTAGTATGTATACAATAAGCACAAGGAATCCCCAAAGAGGTAAGTGTACTGCAGTGTTTACATTTGAGTAACAATGATGATTTATGAACATAACATGTAGTCCAAGAAAGATCAACAAGGTGTACTGTCCATTATGTAATGAATGCCAAATAAACTAGTCCAACATTCATCTCGTTTATACCC